TAAATGCAAACTCGTTCATTTCGGATGTTTCTCCGCCTGTACTCTGGCACACACAGGACGTTCCTGAACTCGAGCAACAAGCAGCTTTAGCTCTGACTGTGGCGTCCTACATACTGCGGATAATATCGAGCTCGCCGCCGTTGTGTGAGCGTTCCTCGTGCGCGCTGATATGTCGTGACTGTGTCGCGTTACCGTAACCTGCTAATTGTTAGTTACTGCGGCAATTGCATTAGGTCCTAAGTCCGGGGCCAGCCCCACGTCGTTACGTCGCTATTGCTCCGTAGATACACCGTCGGGCTAACGACGCGGCACGGCTCGCGTAATCGAGCCGACAACAGGTGGACGTTAGATCGATAGACTTCCGCCGGCGGATTGGCCGTCTACCGGCTTATCCGGTCGCGAGCGGCGAGATTTATGACGAGATCGATAACGGTAAAAAGAGCCTGCGCCTGCGGACGAAATAATTACGGTTTGGCCGACGTTGGGAGAGCGAACGCGCGCGAAACCCCCCGCCCCGCCGCGCCGGCCGGCCGGCCGGCGGACCTGTCGTCGCGATTTTCAACTCCGTGTGGTACACTTTCGCAGAACGGCTCTTACACCGGCCGTAATTACCTTATCACGCGTGTAACTTTGGTAATATTGCCGCTCCATAGCACGTGGCTCTTTTCGCCTCGGAACGAATATGGAAATTTTGCTCTTGATTTGAATCCGAATGGAATTTTGCCATCGATGAGAGATTGAACGTTAAATAGAATATATTTTAAAAAGGAAAATATACATTTCCTTTATACTCTCTCTCTCTCTCTTGCTCATCTAGAAAAAAAAGAAAAGATATTTCAGCGAGAGTATAATGTATAATTGGTATAAAATATGATGAATACACTTCTTCCAAGCAACGTTAATTGATTCGATGGCAATTTTATGTGTATTTAAAAAAAATGTGAAATTACGAATATTATTATCTGTCGTTAATGCATTATTATGTTCCACCTCGTTATCCGCGTATAAAGATAAATGGAAATGTATTTTCGCGTAGATTTGTAGAAACGAAGATGTTCCTTTGGCGTATGAGTAGATGAGTCATTTAAACGACGAGCGAGCGTTTTAAAGATTCACGACGATGCATATATCATTCTTGTAGACATTCATGGATTAATAATATTCAAATATTTGAGTTCTCGATCCCTCTTCGCGTTCGTCGAGAGGATGTCGACGGTAAGCATTTTTAGAGAAAAGGGGCTCCTTCCCCCTCTCTCTCTCTCTCTCTCTCTCTGTCTGAGAGCAAACACGAGCTGGAGGATGGCCGGCAAATCGGCGACACGTTACTGTCGGGATTTTCCGGTCTACCAAATACTTTTGATTCGCTGACATTCAAATATTTAAGCCTGCTTCGACTCCTTGTTCACCGATCGACAAGCTGTCACGTAGCTCGGTCGGAGGTGGATTCGGAGTGCGGAAAAGCTTCCGACGAAAGTGCCAAGACAGGTTCTAATTGACGCGCGGCTATCGAAATCGTCGGGTTTGTTAATTGACAATATTCAAACGTGAGCTTCTAATCTCATCAAAGCACCTTCGAATCGTAGAGTAGGATTTGACATAAATCTTGACTGATACCACGATATTTTATTGGAATTTCGAACTTTTAGAAAGAATCCATTATTCAACGAGAAGGCATATTTCATCTTTTGTCTGACCTAATTTTCACGACGAAATCCAGATTTTGCAAAATGTACAATAAGATATCTCGCGTGTTGCTCGCGGATTCCTATAAATAAGTTTAATCTTCGAGATTTTTAATTCTGGAACTTGCAACGAACCTTTCGTCCCCTCCCCACTTTTCCAGTTGCAAACTAAAATGTAATTACTTTTATGCAGTTCGAAGTCATCCGGGAATCGACTACCGTTTCAGTTTTATCTCATTATCTTTTCCTGCCGCGAAAATTATATGAACAAGATAAAGTATATTTGACGCCTTTTGCGACGGATCGGACAAATTGATCGCGAATTGTCAATCGAGAACGATCGTGGCACCGAGACCTTGGATCGCTCTTATGACACTGAAATTATGATCGAAACGCGTGCCTCTCAGTCTTGTTTCTGCTTGTATCTTCGAAAATCGCGAGTCGCTTCCTTTCCGTGACGCTCAACTATTGATGCCTCCTGTTTGCTCGTTTGCGCGATCAAGCCGGGAGCGAACGAAATTGGTATTGCGACGGGTATTGCGATTTTTGAGCGTTGACCTCGACCTCGCTGTAAGTAGTAACAATCGCTGCTGAAACGCAGAAAGGACACAAGACGCGCTCTCTATTCTCTCCCTCCGGCCCTTCTGCGGCAATTAAATTACACAGCTCGGGCCACGGAGAGAAAGCAGAAGAAGATCTCCGCGCGTCGTGTCGCGTCGCCTGGATATTTGCTCGGCTCCATTTGCGAAATTAGAGATCTATTTGTCCGCGAGAGATGGCAATCGCTCGGAGAGCAAAGGTGACGCGGCACAATGGTGACGCGTCAATCTTTCTCCCTCTGCTTCTCACCCTCAAAATCCTACCCCGCATTCTCTTTTCGTACAGTTCACCCCGACCCCCCGCGTCCGCGTTCTTTCCTTCGAACCTGGCCAACTTTCTTCCCCCCGTTTCTTTTCATTTATATGAGAATGGCCTCGGGGAGGAACTCTCTCTCTAGCCCGGTTGCGCCGACCCCGCTTGGAAATGCGAACCGCTACATTTTCCTTCTCTGTATGACATTTCCCACGTCTAATGAAGGGACCTTTCGTCCCATCAAAGTTACCCGATTAAAGCTGGAAATACCAAGCTAGAGTCGGACGCAACCTAGTGAGGCCAGCACAGCTACGTGCGAACTGTTTTCTCATTAAGCATCTCTCTCTCTCTCTCTCTCTCTCTCTCTCTCTCTCTCTCTCTCTCTCCCTCTCTCTCTCTCTCTCTCTCTCTCTCTCTCTCTCATTGACAGTAGAAAAAGTTTGAACACAGAAGTGGTTATTCCGTGTCCACGTGTATTGTCATTGTATCGGGAGACGATTCGGTATACGCGAGAGAGAATGATCTCTCTTTGTCTGTAGTCGTGCGAACGGCGCTTTTCCGCTTCTCTTTCCGATCTCGGTTAGAATAATTCGCGATTTCCGTCTATTGTGCGCGCGCGCGTCGTGAAAGGATAACGAGGAATGGAGCGGGATTGTGGACCGGGTCAATAACCACTCCTCGTCAAATTTTTCAGCAAAGTAATTTTATTTTCTCATATCTTCTCCAACTGTTCTCTCTCTCTCTCTCTCTCTCTCTCTCTCTCTCTCTCTCATTCTCTCCCTCTCTCTCTCTCTCTCTTTCGCTCTCTTCCTACCTCTCCCTCTCTCTCACTCTCTTTCTCTCTTTCACTAACTCGAGATATACACAGAACCGTCGTTTTATCATCCGCCTCGTCGAGTTTCGCGATGTTATTTACAACAAAACACCGTGTCGACCGTCCGGCAAGGTGCATTAACGGTAATAAATAACGGCGCTAATAATAATGACGATCGTAATAGTAATAATAATCGTAATAGCAATAAAGGTGTCGCAATAATAATGGCGCCGACGATAATCACAAAGTGTTAGTAACGATAGTGGTTGATTTACAAGTCGGAAAATCAGATCAAATCTCCGCGAAAGCTCCTCGCGCGTTTCCTCGTGAATACTTCGGCGGACTTTTGCGTTCGTCCTTTCTTTTATATATATATATATATATATATTTATGTATACGTATGTATATATATGTATGTATGTATAATGTCGATTTCTGTCGATTATTCTTCCGGATGTGGGTGCTATTTACAAAAGTATTACGCGTCTAAATCTTTAATCTATTTACAACCATAGAGTGCGCCCGGCCGCCGTGCCCGCGTAACCGACGAATAAGGCCCCGCGCGCCCTCCGTTCTCACTTTTCCGCCCCCTCTCTCTCTCTCTCCCCCTCCGCCCCTCTGCTCCTTCCTCGTTATTCTTGTCCCTGTGCGTGTACATCGCAATCTCTCGTTTCCTTCCCTTCCGCACGTCACGCATTTTTCTCGAACCTGATCTGTGAGGTTTGTGGGGTTGCGCGGGCACGCGGCTCTCCGAAGTAACAAAATAAATACTGACTAGCCCGCCCAGGCGCCTCCGCGTCGACGGCAGCGGCGGTGAACGAACGGACGCTCGTTATGAAACTAGAAAAGTGTGAAATCTGCTGCGTGACTCGTACATCGTCAGCCGACCGAATCGCGAGAAGTCAACGAGACTCTCCTTCTCCATTGCGCGCGCGCGCATCGTAGACCGTTTCCTCCGCGAGAGACAAGCGTCGATGAATATCGACATTGAACGCTTACTTCTGTTATCGTAAGCGCTAACTTGAATTACTTGCGTCTCTCCTTTCTCCCGCAGAAGTATGCGCGGTCGAACGACTACCTTCTCTCCTACCTTTTCCTGCGACTTTCGAGTTACAAGATGCTTTTCCAGACACACAGCTAATACATGCCCACCGTAGTTGGTTCACGTATGCGTCGTATAGTGAATACAGTGAGTCGACTCGCGTTTAAATACACACAGTACATACAAAGTCGCCTAGTCTCTCTAGCGTCTACGATGTCCCCTAGAAACGTGAAAAATCCAACCGCTACGGTCTTTTTGGAAGCTAGTGAGAAAAAGCATCGTGTGTGATCCGAGCAGCAGAGAGGAAGCTTCCGGGTAGCTGCGCCCGACGTCCACATTGTCTTAATTAAGCCAAATTAGTCAGCGCTCGCAAGGAACATGGCGAGTCTCTCTCCTCCATAGCCATTGTTAATAGCAAAAATAAGAAAAAAAAAAAGAAACCGAACGCGCCTTTCAGCTGACGAATACCAAGTAGTCTTGCGTCTAGCGCAATTTCTCCCGACGCTTCTCCCACAATTGCAGTTTCGTACGAACACGCGAGACGCACACAAACGCAGGAGAGACAAATGCAGGTCGGTGACGAGCCGCGCCCTCGCGGAGGAAACGGTGGTCCAATGACGGAGCGGCGCGCGCAGCCCTCAGTGTCAATGTCAGTGGGATATACCTGGATATGCGCTCCTGCCTCCGTCTGCTCGCCGGGACCCGGAGGGCGCCAGATAACTTACGGCGATAACCTCAGGACGAAACGCAGCGCTGCGTCCTTTCGCGCGCGTCACGTCGCGTCGCGTCGCGTCGCGTCGCGTCGCGTCTCGGTCGACCTGGTGCGCGATCAGTGAGCGACGACGACGTGTCCACGAGATATGTCGAAGTGAGTATACGCCCCGATGGTGGTGGTGGTGGTGATGGGAGAGGAACGGAGGTGTGCGGGCGAGAGACGCGTCCGAGAGACCCGCGCGCAACTCACCAGCTGGTGAGAGTCCGTTTCTACGCCGCGACGAGGCTGTCAGCCGACGGCCAGGAGGGCGCGTGTCACGTGTCTTGGACACGCAGGTAAACGTCCTCCGGTTGGCTGAGGAGGTGGTGTATCTGCTGCATGGTGCAGAGCGGACAGACCTCCTCCTCGGTGCCGTCGGCGATGAGCCTCCTGGCGGCGCCGGGAACTCTCCTGCCGCCGCCGTAGTCGACGATGTACGAGTAGCCGTCGGAGTCGATCGATCCGGACCGCGAGGTCGCCGGCCGCGACGGTATCCGCTTGCCAGCGGCGGCAGGATTCGCGGCAGGAGGAGCCTCGGTGCGAGGGTACCTCGCCGTCTCCAACTCTGAGTCCTTGAAGTCTATGTAGGAATAGCCCTCGGAGTCGACCGACGGCCGCCTGCGAGCCGCGCCCGCGGGTCCGCTCGAAGGACTCGACGGCGGCCGGGGAGGCGCAGGGGAGGTGCGACGTCTCGCGGCACGATGAGTAGGAGTGATGGGGATACCGGAGTCGCGAGGCCTTGCGGGAACTCGTACGTCGGTCGGGTAGCCGTCGGCGACCAGGCTGACGTCGAGGTCCCGGCAAGACGGGAATTCTCCGAGGGGACTCGTCGCCGCCGGCGACGGCGGGCTGGCTGCTGCTGCTGCTGCTGCTGCTGCTGCGGCGGTGGCGGCGGCGGCGGCGGCGGCGGCAGCGGCGACGGCGACGGCGGCGGCGGCTGGCAAAGGGGGCGAGGGGGCCCGATGGCTCGTGATCAGGGCGTTCTGCGTCGCCAGCAGCAGGTGGCTGTCCCGCAGGAGGTTGCTCTCGTTTCGCAACAACGGACTGCTCGCGCCGGCTGGGCGATTGAGTCGAGGGGGCGACTGGGAAGCGATTGACAGGGGGACCCCCTGCGATTTGGCGAGGAGGGCGCGCGGCGTCCGATAGCCGCCCAGGACCGCCCGCGACGGCTTGTCCTGAACGCGCAGGATCGACCTGGGGTCGCGGTAGTCGAGATAGTCGAGGTGGTGCGGCTGCGGCGGTCGGTCCCTGCGTGGTAGCAGCGGTGGTTCGCATGGCGGCGGGGGATTTCGTACCTCGATCGTCGGCGCCTGGCCGCCGTGATGGCCCGCCGCCGGTAGGTGGTTGTGCAACTGAGAGTGCGACATCGCGTCCGGCAGGTCCTCGTAGAGAACGGCACCCGCGGCGTTACCGCCGCCGCCGACGCCGCCGCCGACGCCGCCGACGCCGACGCCGACGCCGACGCCGGCAGGGTGCGATTGGCCGTCAGGTAGCATGCGACCTCGCCCGCCGACCGCCGTCGCGCCCGCTGCGCTCTTGCACGGCAGTAAGTTTTGCACTTTCCGCTTGTGTCTGCAACAGAGAAGGATGGAAGGATGTTAGCTCTCGCCGGATCCTTCGAGGCGTAACCGGGGATATCTTAGCTTTCAATTTCCCGAGGGCGGACGTGGAATCCGTCAAATTCCAGCCGAGTGCTTGGATTCGCGCGAAAGGTTTATCGCTCTTCCAGGCGGGACTGCTTTCTCAACTACAGTCCCGTCGGTTTCCATTTGGCGACGTCACGTGCGGCAGGTGGAATTTCGAGAAAGAGAGAGAGAGAGAGAGGGGCAATCGGATATTAAATAACTTCCAATATCCATTTTCTAAAAATGTGTTCTCATGAGTCTCTGAAGCTATCCTGCAGCGTCACTTGTACGTTCAAAAATGATAACAAAAATATTTGTAACATCAAGATAGGACAGAATAGCCAGAGAACAGTGTGCAGTGAGTTGTATTCCGAGACTCTCCTTCGAATTCCAAGAATTTGCGGGATTACGTGGAAGCAAATTCGATTCGAATACGACAACAAACTGACGTTTTGTTCATATCGCGTTGTATAAATAACATTGCTTTCGCCGACCATTTGTCGCACGCAATTGACAAGATATACAAGAGTTCCCTACGATGCAACTTAACCAGCTGAGCTGAGCCGAGGAAGAACTGCGTAATATTCACTCGTCACATTCAAAAGGAATAATCACATCATTAATTACTGCGAAACATCGCGAAGTACTCCACACGCAGATTATCTCAAATTACCGCGACACATTTTCACGGGAGCTTGCTCATTTGCGTCCCCTCGAGCGATACAGCTCGATTCGTTTGAGGCGTCTGTGTTGATGAAGAAAAAACCTACCAACTCCGCGGCTTTCGCTCGTCTCACCGATAGACGCGATATGACGTTCGCGGACTCGGAAAGTTAAATTCGGTCAGTCGGGACGATTCTATACGTCACTGCCGCTTTCATTCGAAATACCATCTCGGAAAGCTCACAGTGAATTCCTCAAGTTGGACGAGCCGGAGGATGTTGATATTCTACTTTGTTCTCCTCCTCCTCCTCCTCCTCCTCCTTCTCCTCCTCCTCCTTCTCTTCCTCTTCCTTTTCCTACCCCCGCTGCCGACCAGCCCCCGTCGACACACCAGATTAGTTGGGAGCTCGTTGCAATTGTTTGTACAGGCAGGCGCTTTGCTGTGGGCGCGCTCGAGAGCTTTCCTCGGTGTAAACTTTAATGAATCGGGCACTGCGTTTGCCTATCAGCGTCGTTTTATGTGTATACTGGGTGTCCCGCAGTCGTCGCGCCTCTTTTCGGTTTCGCCCTCTCGGCCTGACTTTTGGCCGGGAATGTGCGGAAGACACATCGATGTTCGATTCGAATTGCGAATAATCGAATATAAAGCGATCCCCCTCCCCCTCTCCCCCCCCCCGCCAGTCAAAGGGAAGCCGCGAGTGAAGTGAGAAACGAGAAGAGTGCGAGGTCCTGGCTTCGATTCAGCGATACAAGTAGGAAGTGATATCGACGGTGTAAGTTGAAGTGTATCTCATCGCGATAGAAGAAGTTTACGAAGCTCCCGAGAGAGACACTCGACCTCGCCTTCATTTCAATGAGAAATAATAAGTGTAAGAAATAATAAGGCTCGTTCCTAGCCACCCGGTAGAGAGCGACCGGTCTTCGCTGCATTCATCATCTCCTACGCGAATTAACATACGCTCGACGAATATCGCATAATAACTCGCTCGTGATTGCTGCTCGGCAATACCGTATCTGCAAGACCGTCTGAATACACGTCTTTTACATGCACAAATTGAAGCGCGCTCTCATCTTTAATTAGCGTTATCAGAGTCGAGATCCCGAGTGACACCGGCTTGACACCGAGATCGCGCTTAAATGTGAAACGAGAGGCGGACGTTTATCGCTAAACTGCAATCATGTTCCGGATAATTGAGCGCCACGTCGATTCGCACGCGAGTGCATTTCGCGAACGGTCGCTTCAACTTTGGAGGATTTGGAGAAGCGGGCGGCGCGATATGTACCGATCGCCATCTCCAGAATTTTCTGACTCCTTCGCGAGAAAGAATCGCGAAAAATAAGCGGGAGAAAGAGGAGAGAGAAAAGAACTGGAGCGCTGGTCCGCCGAGCGTTGTCGACAAAGTTTGCCGCCGCCCTGCCTGGCAACCCTCCCCTGCGGTCGTACGCTCGCATTTCTGATCTGTCCATCACAGTCACAGTCGTCTGTCTACATGGTGTCCACTAATCACGGGTCGCAGGCTAAAGCGTTTAAACTCGGCTCGTCCGACTGAGGGGATTCACTTATCCGAGAGGATTCGCGGTATAAACGCCGTCTCTGACGAGGGTCGCGAGCTCTGCCGACCGGAGATAATGACGTTGGAAACATACGGCCTTGATCTCCGCCGTTGCAGCTTCCTTCTTTTTAAAGGGATTTCTTCGTCAACGCTGACGTCGACGTCGTTGACGTCGCCTAGTCGTAAATCACGAGAGAGAGAGAGAGAGAGAGAGAGAGAGAGAGGGTCGTTTCATCGAGTGAAAATTTTCACATCACGGATCGAAGAATCGTAAAGTCGTATCTTTCATGCGGGCGGCGGGAGGGAGGGGGGAGGGAGAGAGAGAGAGAGAAGCGCGCTCTCCGACGATGTCGCGACAATGGCCGGCGCAGATTTCTCCCCATGATTATTTCTCGCACGTACGCGCGCTCTCTCCTGCGCGCACGCGGATACGCGAAGGCGAAGATTAAACGCGACGGAAGCTTCGGCTCTCCCGGCTGTCTTAAATCTTTCAACGTTTCGCGACCGCGCGCGCGCAGCAGACACCGGCGGTATTCGCATGTACATGTTCATGTATATTCAAAGACCGGCGCGCCGATGGGGGGGGGGGGCGGCAAAGTAGTTTACCCTTTAAGTTTTAATTATCTAATTAACTCCGTCAGTTCGATAATATTTGCTCGTGTAATTAAACCGCAAACTAAGGTTAACAACTCGCGGTGCACTTCCGGCAGTAGGTCGAGGCGGAGGCTGGGAAAACGAAGAGATCGACGTATTCTAAATGAGAAGTGCCGACGAAGAGAGAAGAACGGACGAACGGACGGACGGCGGGGTGGTGGAGGGGAAAGGATGAGGATGAGTCGTCGTGCGGAGGAGAGGACGGCGCGAAAGCGCGGACCGGTCGATCGGTGGGATCGCTGAATGCGATTCGCGGTTTTGAGGTATCGTATGAAGCTTTCACGTCCTGAAGAAGCATCGGCTGAGCAAGACTCGTAGCCGACCCGGGTGTATATATATCGGCGGTTGCTCATGGTTGCTGGATAGTTGCTGGATATTTCGGGCTACGCGGCGTAAAGAGAGAGAACGCGTTTGGCCTGCCTTCCGGGTTGCTCCGCGCCGCGGCCTTCGTGAATTTGTTGCTAAGATAGTTTTCCTAAGCTGAGATAGATCGAACTCGAGTAATTGGCAGGAGGGACGGCAGCGACTCGCCGCGCTCTGAATGTCCCTGGAAAATCGTTACGCTCCGCTCGTCTGCTCCGACGGGAGCCCAACTTCCCCTCCCCCCTCCGTATTTACATCCCCATCGGAACATCGACGTCGCGTTTTCGCCCGCCACGTCAATTCCTTGCACCACTCCCCTCCGCTTCGGCGCAGTCATCGTAATAATGATTTTTCATTATACTCGCGCGCTCGCGCTGCCCGTCTCGCCTCCGTTCTTCCATTTCCTAATGGATTTCATTTAGTCATGATGATACGAGGAACGGCGCTGGCCGAGGGGGAACGAGGTCGTGGAGAAGCTCGGCTGGCAGGAGACGCGGAAGCGCTTAAAGCCAGTTTCATATCCCCCGTCGGTCTTCGGGAGCAGAGGGAAGTTCAATCAAGCTTCCTCGAACAAATCGAGGTCTCGACGCACGAGCGACACTTCGATCATGGAAATCGCACGGATACGTGTTAGTAATATCTCGAGCGATATTCTGCGCGTCGGAGGGCGCGGGGAGGGCGGGAGTAGCGGGAAGAACCCTTCGCATCGGCACGTTACGGCACGCACTCGGCTCGGTTCTTCGGGAACAAAAAACATCCTTCATCCCGTGAAAGATGATGAGGTCTCTCAACGTCTTCTTAATGTCCGCGCCGTACGATGAAATCCTCAGTGTATATAAACCGTCGAAGCGTGCACACGAAGCGAAGACACGAGGCAACGTAGACGGCGGCGCTTGCGATGTCTCTTGCTCTCCCCCTCTCGAGTTTTCTCCCCGGGCGGGGGGTGGCACAGGGTCGACGGGGTGACAAAGTGAATTCGCTCTACGCTCTAAGCGCTGAATAGGTCATTTAAGCTGAGCTTTTAACTCGGGCTAATTAACTGTCGTCTCCCACTGCCACCCGCTGCTGCAGCTCGCTCCTGCGCTTTCGCGACGTTTCGCACCGTCTCTCCTCCGGTCTTCTCCGGCTGCACGTGGCTGCGGGGTGTCGATCGTCCGGGAGCATCTTCGCGGGGTGTGTCCGCGGTGTCATAAGCGCGGAAATAATACGAGCGAGGGGAAGCGCGCGTAACCAGCAGTGTCGAGCGCGAGCAGCCGGCAAGGCTGAAAGCGGCGATCGACGTTTCCCGAGCTTCACGAATCATCATCGCTTTTCGGTCGTTAAGATTAATAACGGACGCGGCGGTAATTTTACGGCACGTGTCTCAGCAACGTACGGCACGAGTGTTCATTCTCACGTGTGAGAGGTTTTTTTATGCGCGCAAACGTGCCACGTACTCGGGATACATTTAATACCGACATATCGTCGCTCGATTTTATTCTTCTTTTTCTTTCTTCACCAAAAATAAAAAGCTCGGAACGTTCGGAAATCGCCCAATCAGCCGTGAGGATTCTGTCGAGAGAGCGACGTTACGTTGAATTTCGACGTCGAATCTGTCTTCACGCCTCTCCGCTGCCGCTGCCGTCTCGTCCAACAACTCGATAGTCTTAAAGCGACGAGTCGCAGCGGAGCGGAGCGGCGGAGTTGGAAACGACGACAGGATATTTAGAAGCGT